AGTTCAGCTGCGATTAAGTTATATTTCTGATGCCAATCACATGCATTTATTAAGGCCGTTCTAACTCCATTGATGACGAGCGAACCGGGTTAGAAATCCATACATAAACATGTACAAACCAGGATTCAGTGTCCTGAAAATACGCAGTTGCCAAATAGAAAATAATTCTGAACAATAATATCTGCCATCGCGGGGGAATTACCTTGTACCTAGTTCAACAAAAGGTAAAGCGCAAAGCATTCAGCGGTGTCCTGAATGCGCCCCGCCTCTTCGGGTACTCAGTTATTCAATTATCGTTTCTCGGGTCGGTGCGAAGCTTGCAGAACATTCTGATTCTGTTTAAGGTATATGTACAAGCGTTATATCGAAACAAACGGATATACAACTGTCCGGGTAATTTTATGCAGCACAGTCAGCGAAGTGCGCTATGAAAGCTTGGGATTGCCTTATGTTGCATAAACGTATGGTTATTATCAGACTATATACGAGAAGGAATACGCACCTTGTCCTCATCAGGTCACTTTTGTTCTGCTGATTGTAGTACAGGAAATGTAAAATAAATATAATAATAATGGTTCAATTGACTGAGTAAATTTTTCGATGCATTTTACTGCAATCTAGTCAGTTAGAAAGCTTATGCGGAATCCAGGCTGTCGGAATGGCCAATTTCGAAAGAGTACATTGATTGCATTAATCGGTTGTAATGATAGTTTGACCGCTATCTAAGCCCAGCATATCAAAGATACCTTCAAAACTGTGAATGTTATAGTCTTAATAACACAGCGATGTCGGTATAGAATTATATTCGCCGACGTTTCGGTTACCGTTGGCAACCTTTCTCAAGGCAGGTTTTACAATCAAGTGACTCAGAGGAAAGGATGACAAGTTAACGGATATTTCATCGTATGTGTGTGCGTATGTGTGTGTCTCTGTGTATGTGTGTGTGGTGGGCACACACCACACACACGATGAAATATCCGTTAATTTGTGATCCTTTCCTCTGAGTCACTTGATTGTAAAACCTGCCTTGAGAAAGGTTACCAACGGTAACCGAAACGTCGGCGGATATAATTCTTTACCGACATCGCTGTGTTAATAAAACTATAACATTCACAATAAAACAACACATGGGACATCGAATTTTCGATGCACTCCTAACATCATTTGGTCACGATGTGTTTAAAATGCCTTCAAAACATCTGCATGAATCTTTGATTCGTGATGATGTATCTAATCTGGAAAAGAATGATGTAGTTGCTTCAGTCGGATTGGATTACACCAAAATTAGAAGTGCTAGGCAGTTACAAATCAACACTAAACTGGATTACGGAAGAAGTCTGCTTCAGCACAGTTGAATTCTGTACTCATTTTCTGTTTCAGGCATCGCATAAAATTCAGTAAAGTGAATAACTCGACTCAGTGATGCAGAGTAGCCTCTCTCTTAACCAGGGATGCTAACAGCAATCGCCGGTATATTTTTCCAAATGGTCAATCGAATTCTCCCCGATTTATTTAGCTTCATATCGTTTGAGCAGTCTAACTGACGTTGCTGAAACGTCCTTGTTACATGACAGAGTTGGTAATATTGCGTTCTTCATCTCTCTTGCCTTCTTTGGGTAACGGTTCATCAGTGGAAGCTGCATGCGTGGCCTTTCGGGTTAATACTCTGGTAAGATATCTTTATCTTGTGTTAGGCTAGGGGTGTTTAGATTCTTCTGAACACGGTTATCATGGAAC